AAAACAAAAGTTTGTCGATTGGTTATGGCTTGGGTTTTTGGAGAATGCAGATAGTAAAGAAGCAGCTCCACGAAATTTAAATTTGTTAAAGAAAGAATAGTCAAGGAAAAAAATTAAACTTACCAGAAAAGTTAAAAGTTTGTTTGTTATCAAAACCACAAGTAATAAATTTGCCATTGAAAAGAAAATTACCGTTACCAGTTATGAGGAGTCCAGAGAGGTTTCCAGTGGCCCCGTAAATGGTATGCAGAACATCCACGCAGTTTCCAACAAGGAAAAATACAAGCTAGCGAATATCAGGTACCAAAAATAAAATTTAAAGTGCACTAGAAACAAAGCATATAGCTATAACCTATATCAAACCTTAGCAGAAAGATGCAGAATAAACTATAGAACTTACCTGACTAAAAATAAATACAAGTCCAACAATCATATTCCTAAAAACTTCACAAAACCCTCGAGATCGATCCAAACTATCAATAAGAACGACCATGTTTTAATTAGAGTAGAATTTTATGTCAAAAAGAGATTATACCCTGTAAGATAGGCAAAATGCAACACAAAGAGATGTGTTAAAAATTGACTAATTTAAAGTAATTGCTAATAGAGTTAATTTAAAAAAAAAACAATCTTTGTATTGTATTTAATTGTACTAGATTAGATAAGACTGCAAAATTAATAAAAATATTCTTTATTAGTGTTAAGTAAGGTATTCATAATATGAGTTACAATTTGAAAGTTATAAGTCAACCCACAAAAAAAATTTGGAATAAAAAATTGTATTAAAATTTAATCTCTATTTTTTTTTGGTTTGTTGCATTATACTTGTTTGTGTATTAAAATCAATAGAACCGACTCCTGAGATCATTAATAGTAAAACAAGCATCTAACATCAGCTGGCAAGGGAAAAGGTAAAGTACAGAGTGAGACAAAAAAAAGGTTTGTATTTCACAATTAGCAGCTAACTAACATAAAAATTTTATTTACACAAACAAAACAAAATAACACACTACAACACAAACACAATTTAAAAAAAATAATATTATTTCACAACACAACTTTGACAAAATTAAAAATGTATTTCATAACAAAATATTATGTTCTTTAACATAAAGCATAGAGTAGAGCATAAAACATTAAATGAGCAGGGATATATCACACACCCTGCACATACATAGACAGACTGACCAAGCGAAAGCAGGGGAACCCATAGCGGATAGAATGCGCGGCGACACCTACTAAGGTCTCCCGTCTTTGTCACTTCTATTGCGGACCCTTTTCTTGATATGCGTATCTCGCGAGCATGATGATTTTTATCAAGTTGTAACAGTGAATCCTCAAAAGGTACAATCTACCAAATAATCCATATAAGCTGGAAACGTCATGTTTAGCCAATGGATGATAAAGAATAATAAATTAAGATCTGATTAAGTATGTCTAAAATTGTTGAGATCATAGACAGGGAAACTACATGAGAAACTACGCCGTCTTCTCCGAAGCTACAAAGGGAAGCGACGTTTTTCCGCTCTTTACATATTGTTCCCAAACTAGAACACCTGGTTATCGACCACAATTTGCCAAAGTCGATTTTAATATTTGCAGCACCGAATCACGTCAAATATTCCGTGTTATGTACAGTTTAACCCAATTATAATTAGTCCCATTATTCGGATGACTGGAGGAAGCTCAGAGGCAAAGCGGCGGACTCCTCGTTGGGAATCAATCCAGGTCGTTAATATAACGAGGTGGCATAGCCAGTGCTGAAATCTCCCCTTAGCTACCAGGTGTCAATTTGTTCTAATAGATGGTGGATGAAAAACGCTATCCTCGCCGCTTCTCCTAACGACCCCTCATTAAAACTACCCCGGCATTATATTTTAAAAAGCGTCAACTTCAATGGAAGCTTTATTATACGTTCTCAGCGGTGAACTAATTGAACTTTATTATGCCACATAAACTAAATTATTTAGCGTCCGCGGTTACTGCTAACCGTTCTGAGGCCATTACGTTGTTTTATATTATTTCGTCCAATTAATTTAAAGCGTTACCTTTTGTGGACTTAATTGAAGGCTATTTTTCGCTTATTATTTATCGTCCCGCTGCTCTTGAGAATTGCAGGCGGGCAACACTTAAGTATGAAGGTATAAATTTTCATTAGTTCGTTTTATTTGGCTGGTACTTAGTCGGCGTGTAAAATTTACACATTAATTTAGCCTGCATTGCAACATTTAATTTTTTTCATATATCTACTCTACAATTATACGATTGGAAACTGAAATTTTATGTTATTTTTATAACACTGCCTAACAAAAAAATCTATTTGGAAATGGACTTAAAGTACTTGAGAGAGTGTTATGAAAGAAAAAAAACATGTTGTTTTAATTTCTTTAATGCTCCACCATTTTTTGTTTTTAATTTTTAATTGGACTTTTTAAAATAAGAGCCTAGAAAATCTTACTGTCTGCTAATGTAATTTTCACTAACAAAGTTTAACACATAAAATTGATAAACAAAACAAGAATAAGTTCTTAATTCTTATTTCTCATAACTAACATTTATGGGATGAAGAGAATCCGCATGGTACTATGCTAAAAAAAGATCAGCATCGATTCATAATAATTAATGTATGGGCAGGAATAGTGGGTAATAATTTAATATGTCGACAGGTTTTTAAGGAACGTCTGAATGGACATCGATATTTCGATTTTTTGCAAAATAATTTGCAGCCACTATTAGACGATGTTCCATTAGACACCCGAAGAAACGCTTGATTCATGCACGATGGGGCTCCTCCCCATTTCAATACTGATGTACGAAATTATTGATCCATTGTTTTTAATAATAAATGGATTGGAAGAAGAAGCCCAATTTCATGGCCACCACGTTATCCAGACTTTAACCGGATGGACTTACATACCCCAGAAATGCTTTTTCGTGTACAAACAAATAATATTCGTAGACTTAAGAAGTGTGTGGAGATGGAAGGTGCCCATATTGAAAATGTATTGTGATAGTTTTCTTATTTTTAATTTATTTTTTTAACTTATTTAACTTATTCTTGTTTTGTTTTTCTATTTTCTGTTATGTGTAAAGTATGTTTGTCAAATTGTGTTAGTGAAAATTACATTAGCAGACAGTAAACTGTTCTAGGCTCTTATTTTAAAAATATGTACGGTTCTAACACAGTAATTAAAAATTAAAAACAAAAAATGGTGGAGGCGCCGCTCGATGTATAACCTGTGACATAAAATCACAAATATTTCTTAAACTGTTAATTTTACCGATTGAACCTCTTATTATCATTGGCATTCTTGAGGGAACTTATTTTTGATACAGGCAGATTGCGATCCTCATCTATGCAAAAATTCTGGGTTGTTAACCATTGGGCATAGTCCGTCCCTGGTGTTCTGGGCATAATTCACTTACAACATAAAAAACAAGCTGTACGCATGTTATTGATCATCAAATTTGCATCATGCTGAAATTAATAGTTTGGAGACTGCAAATAAAAATAACTTTTAAATTTTCACCTTTGAGCGCCCGTAACTTGTTAACGAAGGCCCGTACGAAAAAAATTTATATGGGGAACTGATATTATTTTGACCTCATCTATTTGTGCTCGACTTTTTTGTATCAAGGACGCCCTGTATATCCTCTTTCATATTCTAGAAATTTCTTGGGTTTCAGAACTCATCTGGGCATAATTTAACCAAATCGGGATTATAATCTGGATTTTTTAAAAATTGTCACAAGAAAGGTGTAATAAACCAATAAATTAACAATCAACCAAGGACTTAATTGAAAAACAAAGTTTTTGCAATTCTATAAAACTCTCTTAGGCTTCAATCTAATTACTTTCACTATAAAATCGAAACAATACTATACAGTTTGATAGATCCTTTCTTTGCTATTAGGACTCCACACACATTTTTTTTAACAAAGAATTATGGACGACATTTATATTTGTAAGGAAAATTTAGGAATTGTATAACTTCTAAAGTTTCAACGTTATGCAAGGCGTTATTTTTTTAAGAATTTTCCCACTGTAAAAAAATGGACATAGACCCTTACTCTACAAGGATCAATTAATCAGGGGTTCTTTTTAACTTATTTTAGCGTATGATTTTCAAATCTTATACAGAAATACAGCTTTTTTACATTTTAAATATTAACAAATATTATTTATTTGTTAATAAAAATAAATGCATAAGGATACTAATTGTTTTCGAATGTTAGGTTATACAATTTAGTATTTTTAATATTTTTAACGTTTTCACTACGTTTTATAATTGACTATGAGTTTGTGGTATTATCTACCAGTAATTATGCGGTTTGTAGTACGTATAAGTACCTTATTGTGTGACTTATTACTTTTCAGAGTTGTATGGTACCTACATTTAAAATGACAATATGGTTAAAAAACACTGGCATATCCATCCATAAAGTATTAATAAAGTTGAGATCCGTTGCACTTTGATTTCGAAAGCAATTGTAAACATGGTCGAGACGATAAAATGACTGGGAAATCAGCTGTTTCGTTCTCTTTGAAGTGGATCGCCGAATTTGCTTATTTCTTTTTATTTTCTGTCTTTATTAGGCCTTCCGAATACGTGGTTAAAATTAATGACATGATAACTGAATCACCCTGTATACTTAATCCATTATTACATATTACTATGGTATTTCAATACTATGCTTGAGTGCCTGATGGAATTTAAACTCACTTGCTGAAGCTACACATACCGGAAATGCGTAATTTGCTATCTATACCAACAATTTACCACTATTGTTCAGTGGGATTGCGTACCCACAAATTAAAAACACCTTGCCGCCTGCCGACATAGGGGCTTCCACGAGATAAGCAAATTGCTAATGGACCCGCATGGCCCGCAGTGGCGGATTGCCGGCCGGTCATCGCGCTCCCATTTGCACACATTTCACTTCAGTTGATTGCCAAAAAGGCAGAGTCAAGTGCCAGCTAACACTGTTGTCGTTTGCAGGAGTGACTGGACCATGAGGCGACTTCATAATCAGCTTATTTGAGCGCCACAGTCCTGGTGACTATGCACAGCACGGAAAATGGATCGGGTGAGTATCTGTTCGTTATTTGAACAATATTTTTAATTTAATTCGATACAATTCTGCGTTTTCCTCATTAGGAATCTATTGCCTACATTATAGGTGGTAATGGTTCTCTTCAGTGTTATAGTTGTACAATAATTCATGTGTGCCAAAATTGATATGTCTCTTTCAATTGCACAACATCATACAAAAAAGGTGGTCTGGATAGTGGACCAGGCCACTATACACCATAGTATTTTGATCCGCTGTATCCGAATCCAAAGTCACAATTTCCGAATTGGTTCATATTTTGCCCCAACGTCAAGAAATGCGTCTAGAAAACGGTTTTGGATAATTCGAATTGACTTGAATAGTCAGTGATTGGAAAAATATTGGAAATCATGATCTCTATTGCCCCATGACCCCTCTAACTCCGAAAGTTCATAACCGAAGATATGCGAAGGTATTATAGAACTACGAAACCTTTGGAAACATGGATCTCATAAATCCAATCCAAAACTTTACATATAATTCCATCATCCCAATACTCAGGACAGATTTTATTAATTGACTGATGTTGAACAATCGTAAAAACTGACGATCACTGATTGAACAATCAAGGGAGCATGTTTTTCAGTGTGTTATAAAGAGAAAAAACCTCGGGTGGCTTTGTGACACAAATATTTATGCCTCAGAGCATGAGACCACAAGAACATTGCATACAACAAATTCAGGGATTAAAAACATTAAAAATATACTCAATTCCTTTGAGTATTGTGATTGTACATCCTCACACACTTCTTAGCAATGGGATGGCAGGGTTATTGAGTTGGAAAAGATGTTCTCGCAGAGTTTTATGCTTCTACACATTCGTACATTCCAGATTACAGGGGTTATGGGGATATGAAGCTATGAGGTTATGGTGTAATGAAATTATGAATTCGTTTTCCAATCACTCTCACGTCCATTTGACATTTCGAAAACCGCTTTCTAGGGGATTATCCCGATGTTAGCGTCAAAACGCGAACCAATCCAAGAATTGTGACTAGATGCAGATTCAACAAGTCCAAATAATATAGGATAAACTGCTTAGAATCTAATAATCACAGGGCAACAATTTTCACACCCAAAAACCAGACCTCACTTGCCCGAAGGTTTTTGGTTCGTAGAATCCGAATCTGGCGTCCGAATTGCTCCTATACGTCACATTTTCGCGATATCCTAATTTAAAAGTGCAAAAACACGATTTTTTTGCTGTATTTGAGCTTATATCACAGAGCGAAAAAATTATAACTTTTTTCGATTTTAGTACGACTGTTATGAAAACGCTAGAGTACCTAACTTCATTCAAAGATATTTCCGCGATTAAAAAAGATTTTTTAAATCTGAAAAAAGCGTTTTGAAGGGTAAGAGTGGTAGCTTTAGAGATTATGATTTGTTTAAAAAAGAAAAATGTCTCTCTGTGATACTCTTGCACTTTAGGTTAGGATATCTCGAAAACTTGACGTATAGGAGCGATTCTGACGCCGGATTTGCGTTCTGCGCACCAAAAACCTTTGGGCAAGTGAGGTCTGGTTTTTGGGTGTGACCTTTCGTCAAATTTTGTTGCCCTGTGTAATCTTTAATCTTTTTTAATAAAACATTTATTTGTATTAGCGCCATCTACAGCGTTATGAAGAAAAATACTTGTAGTAGTTTCAAAAAATGCCATTGGCAATAAGTAGAACAGTCGTAGTCCAATCTGAAATATTCGAAACTGGTTCTCTACTAGTGCACATTTAATAGCATTGAAAATTGATTAATGATTACTTGTTGAAAGAAACCTTTAGGATTACATGGAATTATTAAAAAAAATTAAACGCCCTAAAGCTTGCCTTCTGTGTTGTCAGATACCATTAAATTATTCTCATGGGGGGGTTGATTTATAACTTTAATTGGGCGTGTAGGTCCAACGTTTGGAATACACCATTAAAATGCTCAAAGGCAATTCAGCCTTGTTACTTATCTCGACTCCTAGCCGGCGTTTTATTATGAAAAGGTACGCTAAACTTTATCCCATTAACGAGAAAAGACACTCCACTTTTTGTCTTAAAACTTTTTACTCGCAGCTAAAATGAAAATAAATTCTTTTGTTAATAGACTGGTACATGAATACGCTATTATTTTCGAGGAAGAATGATATATATGGTAAACAGAATCTGAAAATGCACTCTGCGCAATATACACAAGAGATGGTATACGGGTTCTCGAGCGTTACACCGAACTTTACTCACTATCGGCCGATTAAAATATATAGGGGCCGATAAATTGTCACAGACACTCATCACAAGATCATTGAGATAAATTATTGGTGAAAACGTGAAACCAGAGCTATGTTTAAAGGTATCCCATTTCAAGAATGAATAAATGGTTTATAGGAGAGTAATTCTGTGAAAGATGAGTCTGCGAGCATGTAAAGAATTTGTACCCTCAATGAAGTTTTCAAGTAAAGTAATGCCTTATATTTAGATGAAACGTTTAGTAGTAATATTATCAACCACAGATTTACATGATTAGATATGGCTAGATTTATAAAAATACTCATAAATATTGTTAATTTCATTTATTAATCTTCACTTCAAAACCTTATTAGTCAGTACTTAACATGATTCAAGTAGATATAACTATGATTAGGTACTTATTTCTACATTTTCCATCTGCTCTCCAATTGTCGATTTCTCATAATTTTATTTTGTATCTCCTTTTTGTCCTAAGTACACCATGACTTGACTGAAGGTTACAAATAGAACTAGATGATTACATTGACCATTGTATTAGTACTGATAATAAAACTACATAATCTTGATTCTAAATAAAGTGAACCACAATCAAAATTAAACAGTTGTTTTTTTTGTGAAAGCAGCTTGCAATGACTGGAAATATTCTGAATTCTGGATACTGAATTTCTCATGTTTAATCTTCTGTTGTTTTTTCTCTCGTTTGAGCAGTGGTTGAGAAAATGAGAAAATAAATAGAATAAACGACATACTAAGATTAATGATAACATTCACATTCGTGCTACATTACTGTCAATAAAATCTTCAAAACTATAAAAGGCATTTTTTATTAAGTATTTTTTTATCCTTGATTTAAAATTATTTTCATTAAAATTTTTAGTTTGTTGAGGTATTATGTTAAATAATTTGATGGCACAATAATTAGTACCGATCCGCGTTTTAGTAAGTCTTAGAAATTTATTACATAAGTATGTGCTCTTTCGGGTATTATAAGAGTGAGTCTCACTTCTGATTTCAAAGTTATGTATGTGTTTTTTGACATAAATAAGACAATGAAGTATATATGCACAGGGTACAGTTAGAATGTTCAATTTAGAAAACTGCTCTCTACAGTCATCTCTAAATCCAAGGTCAGATATGATTCTAGTAATTTTTCTCTGAAGAGTAAAAACTTTTTTCATAGAGGGAGCATGACCCCATACTAAAATAGCATATGTTACGATGGAATGGATATAGCCATGATAAACTGTCAGCAAGCTTGATATTGATATTTTGATATCTTGGAACAAACATAATTAACATGTTGATCCCATGTCAGTTTAGGGTCAAGATGAACTCCCAAAAATTTTACACGTGCTAGATTATCTCAGTTTTCCATATTCCGGAGACTAAAAATCATAGTTTCGGTCTTCGAAGTATTTCGAACTAGTAAACCAGTTTTCTACCGATGCTTGTTGGTCATAAGTTGATGTCATTAACTGTTCAAAGTTTAAGTTGGTTCTAGTTATATTGGTATCATCAGCAAAGAGTATACTTTTAGTATCATAAGGTAAACAATTAGGAAAATCATTAAAATATATCAAAAACAGTAACGGACCCAATATGGAACCTTGTGGAACTTCATGTTCAATATTTTTCATGAATGATTTCACATTATTATATACAACATACTGTAATCTATTACTCAAATATGATCTTAATAAAGTGTAATAGTGTTTGTGAGGAGACCTAACACTCTATGTAACTGACTTCCGCCTCCCGTAGTTTAACTTTCCTTCTTGATTGTTTAAATTTTGATGAAGATCTTACCATGTTGGTGCTTTAGCAACCTATTTCAGTATCTCTTATTTTGATTGTTGATCCATTGCTTTACTTAGACTCGTACTCCGGACCAATATAAAGTCTGGGTGAAGCCTTTTTAACCAATTCCTTATCCTCCCCAGCAGAGTTTTCTGGTGTTCTCCAAGAGCCTAAGGGTTGCAAGGGTTGATAGATACCCATCATATGCAAAGAATCTTTTGAATATGATGCGTCGACTCGTTTGCAGGGTTTTGCTCAAGGAATATCCATTAAACGTTACATCTGATTTACATATTTTCATATTTATATTTGAAAAAATACTTTCAAATGGACCAATCCAGGAGAAAACCCGTATTTTCGAATTTATGAAGGAAGAAACTCAACATCTTTAAATTTCGTTACTAACAATTTTTTTATTCATTTTAACGGTATTGTCAATGTTTTACCATAGTGATACTCCGTTTAATCGAACAAAGAAATGTCATATTTGTGAGTATATTTAACTGCATGATACCCAACTCCAGTCTAGCGACACCTGAATACCTCAGCGCGCTCTAAGAAGCTTACAACCGAGGATTACGTCACTCGAACAACGGACTGTCTCTCCGCTGAAATCCCGCGAATAATCCTTTCAGGAATCCCGGTTGAGGCGTTCCACTCGCGTATGGTAAATTGTAACAAGCGGAGTGAACCACCGGCACCGACACCGCTTACTCAGCATGATTGAGGAAACTTTCACAATGTTTTACGTTATCAAGTTTTATAAATTGCCTTTGAAAGTCAACCTGGGTCCTCCACTTTGCATAAACCACCGCATCGATTACGAGCCCGCCACGCCACAATGTATTTTCAGATTGTATCCGGCCGTTTATATTAGAATTTTATATTACTCGGTGACTTTTATGGCGAAATGGGGCACACACTTGCATGACTCACATGGCCGCGCGCCGT